CAGATACTCCGCGTACTAAAGTTGTACTACAAAGTCGCCAGTTCTCAGCTTCCAGCTCCACAGATGCTGTGGCTGCGCCGAAATCTGCACACCTGCCACGAAATCTGCACATGGAGGTTCACAAAGTGCTGCGCCTGCCACGACATCTGCACATGGCGGTTCATGTTGCCGACTAGGGAAGGGTGGCCTCATGAGAACATGGTAGAAGCTCTGACCCTGCCCAGGAGTGAACAGGTCAACCAACTTCTGCAAGCTCCAAGCTCGACGCAATCCAAGCGGGTACATCAACTGTAGGATCAGCCAGGCCACAACTCCGACTTGCCAGGAGTTTCCCAACAGACCCCTTTCTGCTCCGCCTTGGTCACACAGTGCTTGGTGTAGTCAACCGGCAAGCCCATAATGAGCTCGTGCTCCTGCACGCCCGGCCGACGCCATGCTCCCTTCTTGTTCCAGAACCCATGACCATCCTTGTACTGATAGGGAGGAAATCGGTGCGAGTCCTGCGTCCATCGCTCCAATTCATGGGGTTGGCATGACTCGAGGCCAGCCGGCCGTCGCCCTGGTGACGAGCGGGGGCGCGAAGTAGTGAAAGTGGGAAGGTGGCATCCTTCACGAAGCAACCACCCTTTTTCAATGAAAGCGCTACCATCAACTTCGGCTTGCAAAGAGACTGAGGAAAATGCACACCAACCTGACTCCTCACCTGGTTGAATGGTCACACCTACACCTTCACCTATACCCCAATTGATCCAGTATAACCTAGGTCGGGAACAGAGACAGATACCTCTGTGGAGTCGATCCGGCCAAATTCTTTGCTCATCACTGCACCGTCTTCCCCACTCATTGAAGCAACGTTCTCCACCAGCTCGTAGATCTGAGCCCACGGAAAGGCTTGTCGGAAAAGCGCACAAACTCGGGGCACATGCACAAAGAGAGAACTGCGTTCGTCCTTGATGGCACCTTTTCTGTCAGCATTCAGGCCGCTGACGCCCTGGCAGGGCGGGCCTGCCCCAACCAACACGACCCCCACGTGCCACATTATTGTACTTCAGGGCAAGCTCGCTCACCTCGAACAGTCCCACTGTCAAGACTTGAACAAGGTCGTGGGCCTCAGGAACATCCCCCCGAACTTACGAAATCTGCACATGGAGGTTCACAAAGTGCTGTGCCTGGAGGTTCACAAAGTGCTGTGCCTGCCCCGAAATCTGCACATGGAGGTTCACAAAGTGCTGTGCCTGGCATGAAATTTGCACATGACATGGAGCTTCACAAAGTGCTGCGCCTGCCGCGAAATCTGCACCTCGAGGTTCACAAAGTGCTGTGCCTACCGCGAAATCTGCACATGGAGGTTCACAAAGTGCTGCGCCTACCACGACATCTGCACCTCGAAGTTCACAAAGTGCTGCACCGGCCACAAAATCTGCACATGGAGGTTCACAAAGTGCTGTGCCTGCATCGAAATCTGCACTTCAAGAAACCAGTGAAAACTCTAACCACAATGGAGGGACGATTCGAGCGTGACCCGACCATGACCCGAGCATGACCCGAGACCGTCTCGCAACCGTCGTTCCGCAGAGCTAGACTTGCCAGGTTCGGAGCCAGCGGTTCTATTGAAAAGAGCATCATTTCGTGCATCCGCTATCTCTCGAAAACGCATTTTGTACTGCGCCTGCCACGAAATCTGCACATGGAGGTTCACAAAGTGCTGTGCCTGCCACGAAATCAGCACATGGAGCTTCACAAAGTGCTGCGCCTGCCGCGAAATCTGCACCTCGAGGTTCACAAAGTGCTGTGCCTGCCACGAAATCTGCACATGGAGGTTCACAAAATGCAGCGCCTGCCACGACATCTGCACCTCGAAGTTCACAAAGCGCTGCACCTGCCACGAAATCTGCACATGGAGGTTCACAAATCTGCACTTCAAGAAACAAGTGAAAACTCTAACCACAATGGAGGGACGATTCGAGCATGACCCGGCCATGACCCGAGCATGACCCGAGACCGTCTCGCAACCGTCGTTCCGCAGAGCTAGACTTGCCAGGTTCGAAGCCACCGGTTCTATTGAAAAATGCAGCATTTCGTGCATCCGCTCTCTCTCGAAAACGCATTGTGTATTGCGCCTGCCACGAAATCTGCACATGGAGGTTCACAAAGTGCTGTGCCTGCTGCGAAATCTGCACTTCAAGAAACAACTGAAACCTCTAATCACAATGGAGGGACGATTCCGAGCATGATCCGACCATGACCCGAGACCGTCTCGCAACCGTCGTTCCGCGGAGCTTCTTCGTCGAGGTTCGGAGAAGCATGGAGGTTCACAAAGTGCTGTGCCTGCCACGAAATCTGCACATGGAGGTTCACAAAGTAATGCGCCTGCCGCGAAATCTGCACATCGAGGTTCACAAAGTGCTGTGCCTGCCACGAACTCTGCACATGGAGGTTCACAAAGTGCTGTGCCTGCCACGAAATCTGCACATGGAGGTTCACAAAGTGCTGTGCCTGCCACGAAATCTGCACATGGAGGTTCACAAAGTGCTGCAACTGCCACGTAAACTGGAGCTAGAGCTTTTGAAGCTAGAGCTAACTGGAGCTAGAGCTCTTGAAACTGGAGCTACTTGGAGCTAGAGCTATTGAAACTAGAGCTACCTGGAGCTAGAGCTATTAAAACTAGAGCTACCTGGAGCGAGAGCTCTTGCAACTAGAGCTAACTGGAGCTAGAGCTCTTGAAACTAGAGCTACCTGGATGATGAGTGGTGCAGTGGTGTATGATGAGTGGTGTATTGATGAGTGGTGTATGATGAGTGGTGTATGATGAGTGGTGTATGGTCACTGGTGTATGAGTGGTGTATGATGAGTGGTGTATGATGAGTGGTGTATGATGAG